CAGATTCCCTATGATGGTCTCAGGGAATGGGATTCCAACTTCAAAGTAAGAAGTAAAACTGAAACTAAAACTACTTCAAACAAGAAAGATTGTTATTTCCAAATCACTTTCCTACATTAATTAGGATCATTTCAATAGCACACATAGGGACAAGGACCAATGGCAGATTCCCTTAATGACCCTTTTTATGACTATACAGTGATAGAGTGGAATGGTTGAAACTTAGTATCTTATGGACAAAAATACTAAAGTTGTCTTTTCTCCTCTCAAAATTTTGCATAAAAGTAATTTTAAAATATTTCCTCCTGTAATCTCTAAGCTCACTGAAAATGTGAAAAACAATTTATTTGTGTAGCTCATCCCATTCCTTAGCTTGGTATTTTAAAAACTTTTCTATGATGACCTATATTTATTTACCTCAATTCAAGAAGTGAGGGAAACATTTTCATTCATCAGATAATTTGACTTTAAGGAAATGACTTTCTCTCACCCTTTACTCAAGTATCCTTAGGCGCTCTGGTGTTCTACAATTTAATCAGAAACAAGTTATATCTTGCTTTGGATATAAAGTGTGAATTGTTGCGTCTCCAATATGAAACACTGCAGACCCATAAATGTCACCTGGTAACTCACAGATTCAAATTTTAAAGAAAGCTTTGAACACCAGGGAAGAATATGTTTCCTTATATGCCATTATAGTTCTCAAACTAAAGATGGTAGCTAGATATAATGGTGAACACATGACAAAGTAATTTTCTGAGTAGAAGTAGTTTGTTTTGATTGTACTGTAATTATATTATGGAATTTTCCTGGATTTAAAGATATAATTATGCTGTAATGGTTTATACTTTAGGTCTTATAACACTGGTTCCCTGAATGCCACATTATAATTTAACATTTTCTGTAAACAAAAGGAACATATTTAGTGAGACTGCTTCCTGAGTAGGAATACAAACCATTAGAGTTTCTACATTTGGTACTTCTAGTAAAGTTATAGTAGTGCAGCAGGTAAGCAGGGGCCCTTTGACTCTGACATTAATTACTCCCTAGTGAAACTTGAAGCACTCACCTTTGTAAGAGCTTCTGGGTCATTTGTTCTTTCATTCCTCTGTCCTTCCCTCCCTCCCTCCCTCCCTTCGTTCATTCATTCCTTCCTTCCTTCCTTTTTTTCCTTCTTTCCTTCCTCTCTCCTTCCCTCCCTCCCTTTCTCTCTCTTTCCCACCTTCTCTCCCAAGGATGAAAGACTCTAGATGAGAGAAAAGGATGAAGAAAGAACAAGGAGGACAAGAATATGATCCCTGTGGGGATAAACATCAATAGAAAAGTGAAGAAATTAGGAAAGGAAAGATTCAAGGTAAAGGGGGCTTGGTCTGAGATTGAAGGTAAGCTGGGCAGAAATGTAGTTGGTAATAGAAAGAATTCCACATCTGGTCCTGGCATACACACAGCAGTATGGCTTGGTAGAAAAGGAAGATGCAATAGTATAGAAAAGGAGAGCTCCCAGCCAAATAAGACTGGGTTTACTCTCATTTCCAACTGTAATTAGTTGCATGCCCTTGGGCAAATTGGGTTTTGGAATGTCTCTCTCATCCTAAGCAAATCTCAGATTGGATAATTTACCAAGGAAGATTATTATAGAGTGAGAGCTCCAGGCATGCTGCCTGATACATGAGAGGGATTTAATAAATTGTCTTTATAATTATAAAAAGTAATTCAAAGGTCAAGAGGAAATTACATAATAGAGGATGAGCAAGAAACAATATCCATGCAAATTTTAAAGCAGACTGGAGAAGTAGACCCTTTGCTCTTTTGCAGTCCTTCTGTATTTCATGACTTCATAGTGAATTCTATGTCCCTGATACTCTATTTGGTTCCTTTTCTGAAAATGTCTTTTTGATCTCAGCCTCTCTTTTTTTCCTAGAAGAAATTGTGTTCTGGCATTAAGAAAGCCCCAGTATCAAAGGCCAGTTAAACTTATTTACATTAAAGAAATTAGAAGCTAAAAAGAGTAATTTAAAGTGGGCATTGATGGACACAAATGGTATGTAGTATCAGCAATATGAACTTTAAGAATCATCAGAGCCAGTGGCTCACACCTATAAGCTTAACTACTAGGGAGGTAGAGATTGGGGAAATCACACAGTTTAAGGCTAGACTGGACAAAAAGTTAGTGAGATATCTCAATCAATAACTGGGGTGTTGGTACATATCTGTCATTCTAGCTAAGCAGGAAGCATAAATGGGAGAATCTCAGTCTAGGCTGGGATGTGTAAATGTGAAAGCCTATTTGGAAAATAGCTAAAGCAAAAGGGCTGGGGGCATGGCTCAAGTGGTACAGTATCTGCCAAGCAAGCTCAAGACCATGAGATCAAATCCCAGTAAGGCAAAATGAAGAAAGCAGGTGGAGAATTGTTTACCAATTCAAAATTACCTGATAATCAGAGATTCATCACCTAATTTTTCAGATCTATTATGATTGGGCTTTATCAATAGTGGTGGGAGGTTCTCAAAATTCTGATGTTTTATATAAAATTGTGTTTATTTATATCTTCCTAGTATACAGCATTCATCAGATTGCCAAGGACGCTTTTGGTCTCCCAAATTTTAAAAACTATGAATGAGTCTTGTAGAATATAAACTGATGCTGTTACTCTATAGAATGATCTGTTCATGCCTGGTTACTTTAGTCTCAGGGAGTATACCTGAGAATATGGGAGACATGCCAATCTGCCTTTTAACATTGATGGCCAGGTGATTCATGTGCATGCTAAAAATTTGAGAATCTTCATTCTGGTTGTATTCTGAACTCATATTCTGTCTCCACCAAATACTAATGTATTGATCATTAACTTATAATATTGCATATTATGTGACATTACATCAAACTCAGAGTTAATCTGAGGGTTCCAGATCTAAGTTTACAATAATTATGTCCTGACTTTAGCCAGATCATTGAACTTGTGATTAAAGCTTTTTCTTCATCTGTAAGATAAAGAAGTAGGCTATCTCTTTCAGCTCTACATGCTAGACTTTACCATTTACTTCTCACACTGGTCTTTTGTCATGACCTCTCTCCTATCCACTGCAATGCTATCTTTTTGTCGATGTTCATTAAATGTCTTCAAATCCCTGAAACTCACACTAATTTCTTTCTTTTTTCTAACTTCTATTATACTTTCTGTATCATTCAATGTAACACATTACAATATGCTAAAATATTTTCTAATTCTTTGATTTACATGTCTTTTCTTCCAAGTTTGGAGCCATTTGATTAAAGTCCAGGCTGCATCTGATTCTTCTTGTTATCCTTGTTACATAATGCATATCAATGTCTGTGAAGATTGGATAATGTTTTAAGAGAATATATCTATAGATGACACACTGAATAGTTTCAGTCTCATTAATTTGAGTATAAATTGGTCATGCTAAGCCACTTATTTTCTAGGGAGATAGGTCTGAAATGTGTTAAATTAAGCCATTCACATGTCAATATTAAATCTCAAATGAAAAAATCCTAGCTGCTTTTAGAAACAATCCAATAGAACAGGTCAGAGGAAAAAGAATTCTCAGAATTCTCTTCCCTTAGAGCATCAGTAATATTGCATAACATAAGATGTGGAGGTAAAGGATATAATAATGTGCACTGAAAGCTGTTAAAAAATGGGAGGTGGGAGATAAAGGGATAAAGGAGAGTAATGGAAAGGGTTGAATGGACCAAAATAAAGTATACCCACAGTGGGTGTACATTGAGAAACCCCTTTGAACATTAACTTAAATATTAATAATGAAAACCAGGACTGTAAAATAGATACTGTGTGTATGTATGTGTGTGTGTGTGTACTAGTAGGAGTGGGGAAGGTGAATGGAGGAGCTTCAGGTGATGGTACATGGTAGATGGACTTCATATACCTATATGAAACAGAACTAAGAAACCTCTTATAATTGCTTTATGTGGTGGGGAGGGGGTTGAGGTGGAGAGATGATGGGGCAATGTAAACAATGTATGATATAAGTCTAATCGGAATTGTCACTATGAATTCCCCAATGTATGATGAATATATCCTAATTAAAATTTATGTAAAAAAGAATTTCCTTCCCTTTAGTAATTATTTGGACATTTATATATATTTATATATGCATATTGTATATGTGTATATAAATACATATATACAAACTTATATACATGTGTATAAATGCACATGAATGTATGTATACATGTATAAAGCAAATTAAGTTCCTCAGAATAATAAAATTAGATGCTCTTTTTAATTATAATAAGTGATGCTTTTTATCTTTTACAAAATTACAAGCATTTTTGCACAAAAGTTCCTGTCTCCATCTATTCAAGCTGCTATAACAAAATACCACAAGGTGGTATAGGTTATAAAGAACAGAAATTTATTGTCATAGTTCTGAAGGCTGGAAAATTCAAGATGAAGGTGCCAGCAGACTTGGTGTCTGGTGAGGGCACCTTCCTGATTTATGTATGGTATCTTCTAGCTGTGTCTTCAAATAGTGGAAAGGGCAAATAGGCTCACTCATACTACTGTTATGAGGACATTAATGCCATTCATGAAGACTCTGCCTTTAAGACCTAATCACCTCCCAAAGAACCTGCTTCCTAATACTATCACTTTGAAGGTTATGATCTAACATATGAATTTGGAAGAAAACAGACCATAGCAGCGCCTGTTAAGATCTGTGAAGGGTCTAAGCTTTTATGCTGTTTTCAAACTAGTTCTTAATAAGTTAGCTTGCCATTTACAGTACAATCAGCAACACAAATATTGCAGTGCTCAGTTAGAACGAGCAATAAAAAAAATCCTACGGTGACTGTGGACATATGACTTTTATATAGAGAAAAAATATTTTTATTATTCAGAGGAGAGCAAACAGTGTAAGTGTTGGCATATTTGTTTCAGTTCCTCTGGCAACAAGTCCACAAAAGCAAAAATGATGGGCCCAATTGAATGACTGCACATGAGTGTATTGCCTTACAGGAGAGGAACCCCAAAATTAGGGAATTTGAGTCTGTACAGCGTATAGGATGCATGCCTCCTTCTGCTCTAGAGGAAGATTCTCTCATTTTTCTGGGCAGTAGGCACTTCTGCCATTTGCTGCAAACAGGAGACACTATCTCTACATTCTAGGGTTTTTTGCTATGCAGTCATCTTTGAAAAGATAATTTGGAACAAAGTCAGTGCTCAGTTTTGTAAGTGCAGAAATACTAATGATCCACTGAGAATTGCCTTCTTAGACTGTTGCAACAGAGTCTATATAATAAGTAGACAGAAACATTTCTAAGAGCCGTTCTATTAAAACAACTTTCCTCAAGCTATACAACGTGATCAAATCCTTCTTCATGTGAGCCAACAATTTGATCTTGAGGTCAAGTCAGAAATCTTTTAACTTTGGGCACAATTTATTGTCTGAGCAAAATGTAGAAGAGAACTTCCATCTAACTGCGGAGAGGTGATCAAAGAGCAGCTGTGGTGGCTTTTTGCCTTTTGGAACTTGGGATTCTGACAGGACCTCGTGACAAAAGGCAACAGGATTATTATCCTTGCTTGGAAAGTGGGATTCTGTTCCCCAACATATGGCACTGTGTCTTGGGGAGCACGGGGATGAAACAACCATTCTCTAGAATGAATATCTAGCTGAGGTTGTAAATCTTGGCACAGTTGAGTCCTCACCATTCTACTTTCAAACACTCTAGACCAGTCAAATTTAAATAAACCATCTAGTTAGCATGAGCTTGACCTGTGGGGAGCAGCAGATGGTTGATAAGTTCTTCTTTGCCTGCCCTGGGCCCAAGAGGAAAAACAAAAGAATTTGGTCAGTTGCTCATTTTACGTCTCTGAAATTCCATATGATTATTGTGATTACTATTGTTTCTTGCCATGTGTTGCAGAAAAAAATTTTTTCAAGTATCCCTACAATGGGAGGAAAGTCTGAATGCAGAATTGACTGTTGCTATGTATTCCTTGTTAGGAGTTAGGAAAAGGCAAGTGAAGTATTTTCTAAGTGTAGTGATATATCATCATACTCTGAATTTAGTTTTTAACACTGCATATTTAAATAACTGCATTTTACTAATATGTTGTGGAAAAGCAACTAAAGATTATTTTCCTCTTTTTAATTTTTTTTCAGTTACTTACAATGCATCTTTGGATGCTATCATTTCAAGTACAACCAGCAGTACAAATACTGTGGTGCTGGCTTGGAGAGAGAAATCAACAAAGCATCTTAAAATGACATGGCTCAACATTGCCCAGGGCATTCATGCTTTTGATTACCACTCTCGGCTCAATTTAATTGGTATGTAAAATAAATCATGATAACTATGAGGGCCTCATAAATAGTCTAGGATGCCTATTTTGTATGCATGGAGCCTCTCCACCTTGCTGCTTTATTGCCAGAGAGACCAACTTGAGCAGCTCATATTTTATTGCCTGAGAATGTCTGCTAATGATACATTATGGGATGCAGTGTATATGAACTACATTGGGGTGAATATATGAGAAAGTGCCCCAATGATTTAATGAGTCTTTTTATTAGAATTGGTAGAGTTGTAATATGATATAGAGAAAAAAGACATTTTGCTCAGCATCTGCCATCTTTTTACCACAACCAAATGCTGCACCCAAATACACCATTTTATTGCTATTAATACCACACACACACACACACACACACACAAATACACACACACACACAAATACACACATGCACACACACAAGAACAATTTTAGAATGTTTTTCGATTACTGTTAAGAAAACATTAATGATTTTTGAAAATTTGCAGATTGTCATAGCTCTAGTTTGCTAAAGAAGAATAATTTTGATGCAAAAGGGTATAAGAATAAATTTGATGCAAATATCAATCATTCAATTCTTAGTTATTTAATTCTTAGTTATTCAATCCCTGTATATTGATCATTATTTTGTAGTTGCCATTGTGCTGTAAAAACAAAGGTGAATAAACTCAGCTCCAGAGTTGGTCCTAAACCAGGAAATAATAAGCAGTGTTACATTGCATTTCCAGACACCTGACAAAGGACTCCACATCTTGCTCCTGGAGTGTTCTCTGAATATAACCGATTCATGTTTAGAAATACCTTATTCTACCAATAAAGCAGGACAAAATTATACTTGCGATGTTTGTTTGCTTGCACATGAATGATTATTTCAATAGTGGTGAAAGTAATTTGTTTCTAATACATTGTATTGATTGGTGAACTGTCAGTATTATTTCAGTTCTTTCTTACTCGAAGAATAGCTTTACCACTATCTAAACTCCTAGGCTGTGCTTTCTGGAGACAGGAAGATGCATTCATGGAGCCTGGGCAGGCTATGGTTGGCTCCTATATGGAACAATTTTTTTCTTCCAGTTCATGCACACCTTTCCCCCAGGTGACCCCTTTGACCCCTTTGCCCCTTTGCTCCACTAGATAGAGCTTATGTCTGATTAGCCTAGTTTGGTGGGCAATGACAAGATTTTTCTTCCTTCAAGACAAGTTGTGCTATTGTTTATCGGAAGACACTTACAACCTACAGATAGGCAATAAACATATTTCAAAAAGGAAATGCTGCAGGTTATTAATGCTATTAAAACACACTTTTTCTTCTTAATTTTAATTAGCAACTGCTGGCATTAATAACAAAGTTTGCCTGTGGAATCCCTATGTTGTCTCTAAACCAGTTGGTGAACTTTGGGGTCACTCAGCCAGTGTGATAGCTGTCCAGTTCTTTGCTGAAAGAAAACAACTTTTCAGCTTCTCCAGAGATAAAGTAAGTAATGTTGTGTATCTAGTTTATTTAGCTCTATTTCCCCACTTCCTACAAAAATCTACCCATTCCTGAATTTCTTTTGAGAGTCAATTGTTCTCCAATATCTATTGGTAACTGCTGGAAATCTGTATTTGGAAAAAAAACATTTTTTTTTTTTTTTTGGCAGTACTGGGGTTTGAACTCCTGACCTAGTGCTTGCTAAGCAGGTGCTCTACCACTTGAACCACATCCATAGATTTTTTTTTTTTTTTTGCTTTTTTTTGGATAGGGTCCTGCATTTTTGCCTCGGCCAGTCTCTGGCTGCCATCTTCCTATCTCAGTCTTCCACATAGCTGGAGTTACAGGCATGAGCCACTACACCTGACTTTGGAAAAAAGTATTGATTAGTGGTGACTTTGCAATAGTCCTGGGCAACTGGACAAGGTATTTCTTTCATTTTATCTTCAGTACTGAGGATTGAACTCAAGGCCTCGCACTTGCTAGGTAAGCACTTTACCATTGAGCCACTTCCCCAGTCCTTTTGTTTTGAGGAATTTTTTTCCTTCCAGATAGAACCTCAAGCTAATTTGGGTCATGTTGCCCTCAAACTGTGATCTTCCTAACTTTACCTCCTGAGATAACTGGCATACAACACCATTCTTGGCTTGATTTTGAGATGGGGATCTCAGTAACTGTTTGTGTACCACCATACTGATGCACAGATGACACACGCAGGAATTTCAGGTGGTCAGGGCTCTTGGGTCCACTCTGAGAATGAAAGCACAGGCAGACTCCAGCAGCAGAGGTCAGAAAGATTTGATTTGTAGAGAAGAGAAGAGAAAGACTGCATGGCGGGGAATGCAGGGGAAACTGGTGGTATGTGGGTCAGGGTGGAGACTGGGCTTTATAGCCTTTTTCTGTGTATTGCCTGAGGGTGGAGATGTTTTTCAAATTCAGACAGGCATTTCCTGGGAAGAAGTGTCTCCTTGACGTCCTGCAATCCATCCTTCAAGTCCCCCCTCTCACTCACCGCCCTAACTGCTGTTAGGAATAGGGACAACGAAGTCTATTCAGTAACTGCTTCTTGCTGACAGGGGATGATGAAGGGGCCGGCAGCACCAGGGATGACCGTGAGAGGGATTGTTGAGGGGGACCACGATAGTAGGTCATTTTCATCTCCATCAGAGGCATTTGTAGTTTCATGGATTCTAGGCAAGAAGAAACAAACTTGACAAATAAGTTTAAAATGCAAGGCCCAAACACAAGCAAGGGAATAATGGCAACTATAGGCCCCAGAAAGGGTAGGAACCAAGTCCTGGAGGGAAGCCAGAATTTTATTTGGTCCCATACCTGTGTGGAAACCTGAGTTTCAAGAGATTGCTTCCAGAGCCATTTAGCCTGTTGGAGAATGTTCGCACGTTCCTCTACAATGCCTGAAGTGTTTATATATGTGTTAACAGGAAGTGTTGGTGATAGCACATACCCTTCTTTGTTTCATCAAAAGAAAATCTAGGGCCAGGTGGTTGTCCATGACAATATAGGCAAGGATGACAAAACCTTTGTATGTCTTTAATGGCAAGCCATATCTGATCTGAGGTGTCCTCTACTACTTTGGTTAGGTTTTTTGTAGTTACATGATTGGCAATCACCCCATAGCTGATTCCAGCTAGGGCTGTAATTAATGCTGTTATCCCTAAAACTATTAGAGCAACCTCCCTTTTATCTCTATGGGAAGTTGTTCCTATTGTAGTTAGCATTCCCCTTTCCTTCCAAACGGTTGCATGAGCACTCAGGATCAGGAAGGCATACTTAGAATCTATATAGATATTGACTTTCTGGTTTTTTGACAGTTTTAGGGCTTCTGTTAGGGCCACTAATTCTGCCAAATGAACAATTGTATTAGGAGGAAGAGGATCTGATTTGTGGATGCCAAATTCTGTTACAACTGCAAACCCTGCATGTCTGACTCCATTTTTGACAAAGGAACTGCCATCGGTGTATAATTCTAGATCAGGGCTTTTTAAGGACTGATCAGTTAAGTCAGGTCAGGCAGCATAGTTTTCCATAAATACCTCCTCACATGAGTGTTCAGGATTTCCCTCTGTCTCTGGTAGAAGGGATGCAGGATTTAGGCTCTGATAGGTTCATAAAGTTATTTCTGTCCCTCCCAGAAGCTGGGCATGGTATTAAGTAGATGACTATCAGATAGCCAAAGTTCTCCTTTTGAGTTTAAAATTTCCCCTAGGTCATGTGGGGTGTAAACCATTAGAGGGTGGTTTTGGATAAGTTTTTGAGTTCAGGCACTAGAAGGCTTACTGCAGCCACTGCTCTAAGGCATCCTGGCCATCCCTTGGCTACCTGATCTAATTTTTTGCTTAAGTATCCCAATGGCTGGGGAGTGATGCCCCGGAGCTGAGTCTCCACCCCTAAGGCCAGTCCTCCCTTTTCATAGACATATAATTGAAATTTGTCTTGTACTGGGAGACCCAGGGCAGGAGTTGTCATAAGGGCCTTTTTTAACAGGTAGAATGCATTTTTCTGACTTGTCATCCCATTCAGTAAAGGGCTGGGGATTCTTCTGTGCTTCCTTAAGGATTTGATATAAGGGCCTGGCTAGGTCTGAATATTCCAGGATCCAAATTCTACAGTATCCTGAGACCCCCCAAAAGGCCCTCAATTGCTTTAGAACTTTAGGTAGAGGAAATATCAGGATTGGATGGATTCTGTCTTCTCCTAGAGACCTCAATTCTTTCTCCAGGACAAGACTTAAATTTGTAATCCTAGACTGACACAATTGGGCTTTTTCTTTAGAGATTTTATGTCCTCTATCTGCTAAGAAGTTTAGTAAGGATTCAGTGGCTCGTGAAATGACAGGCTCAGTCGGTCCACAGAGCAGGAGGTCATCTACATACTGTAGCAGAGTAGCTTGTGGATATTGCCACTCTGCCAAGTCTTGGGTTAGAGTCAACACAAAGAGGTGGGGGCTGTCTCTAAATCCTTGGGGGAGGACAGTCAAGTGACCTGTCTAGACTTTCTTGTGGGGTCCTCAAAGGCAAAGATAGGTTGACTTTTAGGGTGTAAGGGAATGCAAAGGAAGGCATCTTTTAATTCCAGGACAGAGTAGTAAGCAGTACCTGGAGGTATTTGGGCTAAAAGCAAGTAGGGATTTGGAACTATAAGGTGGAGAGGCACTACTGCTTCATTGATCAGATGGAGATCCTGGACTAGCGTCTGTTTGTTAGGTCCCTTCCTGACACTGGAGTATATACTAAATGGGAAGCCCTGGGACCCATCATTGGGTGGGAGGCTCTGGCCTCGATTCCCCTGGGAACCAAGGACAGTGTGCTTTCCAATGTTTTCCCCAGCAAATGGGGCAGGGTCCTGGAGGTAGCTTTTTCCAGGAGCACTCCCTCCTAAAGTGGCCTGTCTGTCCATATTGAAAGCATGTCCTCAGGTTTGGGGAAGCCTCTCTGAGTGCTGCTATCAGAGCATCCTGCCATTTATCCTTTCTCTTTTCCTTTTCCACATTCTTCTTTTTTTTTTCTAAGTCCCTATCATAGTATACAGACATGGCTACACAGACCAATTGGTCTAGATCTCTGCTCCCTTCAGCCACCAGTTTTTGAAGCTTTTCACAGATATCTGGTGCTGTGTTAGAAATTTATCTTTTAGGACAATTTCCTCTTCCTGTGACTCTGGTATAATATTGGTATTCTCTTGTGAAGCATCTTTAAGTCTCTGTAGGAAAGCTACTGGAGTTTCTAAGGGTACTTGCTGTATAGCCATGACTTGGGAGTAATTAAGAGGTTTTACCTTAGCTCTCCTTAGAACCACAAGAATGCAGTGGGTGAAATGGTTATGGCTCCATTCATCCTTGTCATTTTCAGGGTCCCACTTAGGGTCATACACAGGCACTGCCTGATCTCCTCTTGAATTGGGAATTGAGGTTCCCTTTTAGGTATCCACTGTCTTTGTCTTTCTTCTCCTTCCCCCTCCTCCTCCTCCTGTGAAGGCCCAGTCTGAGACAGGCCTGTAGGGCCACTTTTATCTAAGTGATAATTGTCTCCAGCTGTGACTGCCTGATCTAGTACCTGCTGTTTCTCCTGAGCAGTAAGGTCTGAGATAGCAACAGCATTACATCTTTCAGTCAGTTCAAAGTTTTGACTGACTTCTTTAAATACCTGGATGTACTGATCTGGGTTTTCTGATGTATTTCCTAAATCCTTTTTGATTTCTTTAAGTTCACTCATTCTAAAAGGAATGTGAGCCTATCCCCTCCAGGAATTAACTGGAGTGGGTAGAGTACTGTAGGATGATGTCTGGTGTGGGAGTAGCTGAGTGAAGGGAGAGAGGGAACTGATGGAGCATCAGATGGGTTCTTTGGTTCAAGGGATTTTGGGGTTTTTTGTAAGGGTTACTATGGTCTGGGTATCTAGCCTGCATTTGCTAGCCATTCTGGGTAGTCTCTTAGGAAAAAAGAATAGTTGAACATATGGAACTTCTGTCCAATTTCCCTCTTTCTTTACAAACATATCAATTGAAAATAGTGTTATAATTAATGCTCCCTCCTTCTGGCCATCTTTCCTCATCTCCCAGAATACTGTGGCCATTCTGGGTGCAGTAAAACTTGAGTTGCTTTGCTGAAGACTTTCTGGATCAAGATCTTTCCATGTTTTAATAAGTAGGCAACGTAGGCCCCCAAAGTACATGCAGAGAGGAGTGATCTGCCCAAGAGATTCTTTATTGCAGGTGGGAAAGGAAGAGCCGAGAGAGAGAGAGAGAGAGAGAGAGAGAGAGAGAGAGAGGGGGGTGGCGCAGGGGCTTAAATACCCCTCAGTGAGACTCAGCATGATCTGATTGGTTAGGATTTATGTTCATGCTGATTGGAGGTTGGGCAGAAGGAGAATTCAGCTAGACTTGAGGCAGGACCATGACCCTGGGAACAAGCTTAAGGGTGCAGTAAAACCGAACCTATTGGCGCCATTATTGCCAACAGGCAAGGGGATCCTTCCTAGATTCTT